ACTGGATAAAAGAAAACTTAGGTTCTATGCTAGAGTAATTCTTATATTTAAGGTAAAAATTCAAATATGAAGCCCGCAAAGATTTGAGATTTAAGGTAAAAGTTAGTGACTCGTAAAGAAAATAAGATCAGTTTTGACTCCGTTACTCAATGATCATTTTGATCAAAAAATATTTTATTTTAAAAAAATTATTAAAATTTTAAATAATAATTAAATTTTAAGCTGTTTAAGGTCAACCAAAAAATCTATAATGATATGTGAAAACTTTTCATTTACTCAACTACATTTTTCATTCCATTTTTTTTCTACTACATTTTTCATTGCTCATTTTTGTCTTCCTCGAATTCCAACAACTTAAATACCAATAAAAAAATGTTCTTCAATTTCATCATACAAAATTGGTATTTTAATCAAATTATAAGTTTTTTTTTTCTGTTTAAAAGGTTGTTTCCCATAACCCTTTGTGTTTAAATGATAATATAAAATATTGTTAGTTAAAATTATAGAGAAAGAGAAGAGTAGAGGAAAGATATTTCAATCTTCTCTTAAACCAAATTGTAGAAGCTCGAAATTAATGGGATGACAAATTTCCAAAAAAAAAAAAAAAAACAACATTATTTCTTTTTTTTTCTGCTGTTCTGCTTTCTTTCTTCCCATACGAAATGATAAAAAAATCCTTAGATCTTAAATCAATGAACTCTCTATGAATGATTGGCGGTGAGACAAGGTGAAATAGCGAAAAAAAATGACATCCATTTAATGTAAAGGTTCTATTGCTTTAATGTTTGTACAAATTTTTTGTTATCCTTATATGAAAGGATATGAGAAAAACAAAGAATAAGTGAAAATTATGAATTTTTGTTTCTTTTCGCAAAAGTGTGTCTCTTTTCGATGAAGAGAAAAAAAAAAATAAAACGAATCACGTTATTTTGAGCGAGATTAAAAGCGAGACTGAAATGAAATTTAATTTTCTTCTTGGGAATTTTTTTGTAATTTTCCTTTTTTCTTCAAATTTTCTCCCCTCTGTTTAAAATTTTCGTGTGTATGTTTTCCCTTTTGTTTCATGTAATATTTTTGTCTGTGTGTGTTTTAATTTAATTAGACTTTTTTACTTATAAATTATTTTTTTTTTAGATTTTTCTTCAGGTTCATATTAATAAACTTATGGAGAACGTTTTTTCATCTTTAATTTTTGGATTTTTCTCTTTATTTTCTTGTTTTCGTTTGCAGATATAAATTTGAATGGCATAAAAATAGAATGGGGTTGTCTTGGCATATAATCAAATTTCATGTTTTCTTAATTTTCTTTTATACCATACCCGCTCTTCTTAGTATATAGCTATGTTGTTATTGTTATAAAGAAAATTTTGAATTAAACAAAAAAAAAAATTAAAAAAAATATGTGAATATTTTTATTCTGCGTTATTTTAATTTTAAATCCACCAAATTCTTGGGCTATGAGCCTTATTATTTTCTTGTATTACCAAGATAACAAGAATTTAAAGAGAAAACATATTGTATAATTTACATTATTTTCTTTAATTATTATAAAAATTCTTCATTTAAAGTCAATTTAATTTAAATAAGATTTTTTAATTGAAAAATGGTAGTAAAACAGGAAAAACAAATGAGTTTGTAAGTGAAAATTAAGAGATGAAAAAATTTATTTTTTTTTTTTTAATTAGCGAGAATAATGAAAACAAGAGAAGCCAACAATAATAGAGGCAATAGAGCACTCCCTTTTTGGGAGTTAATTAAAGTGCTAAGAATTCAATAGGCGGGGTATAGTAATCTTGTGCGTTAAATGAATTTCTTCCTTAGTAGAAATTAGACTAAGGAATATCAAGATTAAGAAGTGTCTCCTAATTTTACGTTTATGTAATCTTAGATTAAGTAGAAGAATCTAATCTATAACATAGTGTATATATATTTGTATATGCGGTAGAAAGATTGTATTGCCTGTGATTTATATTTTGTTGAGTGTTACTTGTATATCAAAGAAACTATGACAGTAATTACTATTATGATTGATGTGTAAGGCACACAATTATGTTAGGGTACATTTGTGTTAGTCAACTTTTATTTGTTCTTCCTTGTCTTCTTGGATTTTTATGCGGTTTTAAAGCTTTTCAATATTATCTAGGTCTTTTTGAAATATTGAGTATCTTAACAAGATTACTTATGATTGTTATTGATATGATCGTATTCAATTAATTAAAAGTTACAACTTCTGTACCTTGTGAAAATATTCTAATAATTTTAAGAAAAACCAAAAAAAAAAATCAGCATTATTAGAAGAAATTTTCATTCAAATTTAGAAATTATGGCAGCCCTAAAATGGAGTATGTAACTCTGTAGCTCAGTTGGTAAAGTTGGTAGAAAGCGGTAGGTAAAATTAATTAAAAATTTTTTAATTAATTTTTCTGCCTTTAACTCGTTCCTTTGATTACATCATCCATCTGTTCTGCAGTTGCATAAAGAAATTTCCATTAAGTTAAAAGTACTTTAAATCTTTTATTTACTGCCGAAATATTGTATTGTAGCACACTGTATTTCGACCTATAATTCTATGTATTATAACGATATTTTAGTTATATCATATATAATATCGAAAAAATATTAATCGAATGAAAAATAGAATGAGACTATGGAGTCAAAATCTGAGTTGCAATTTCATATTATTATTTGGGCTCTGTTCGTAACTTAAATTTGTAATATATTACAATTGGCTTCAAATAAGTAATTATATTTTTAAACTTGACTGGTAAATGTGAGCGAATTTTTCAAAAAAATATAGAATTTTAGTAAGTTAGCCCAGTAGTATTGGTTCTGAATTATAATGTTATTGAGATAAATGCCTTCAAATATAACATAATCTTTTCAATTAAAATATTTTGTATTAATAATCTTAAAGCCTTAAAAATTGAAGTATCAAAAATTGAAATTTAACATAAATTTTTCATGAAAATTGTCATATTTTTGTTTCTTTTTCCCCCTATAAAAATATCTTTAAAGTCTATACCCTCTAAAGTCTATTCGTTTTAAACCTATTCAAAAATCTATTTTTTAAAATAAAAATTCCAAAATTCTTATTGTACAACCTAATTATTTTCTATTTCCTAACAAAAACAGTTTTTCATTTTAGTTTTCCATTTCAATTATAAAAAAAAAAGAAAATTTTTTTTTTTTTTCATTTTCTTTATAATAAAATTTTGTTCTAATAAATTTATTGAATTGAAAAACTTTTCCGGTTCCATAAAACCAAATTGGAATATGGTAAATTTCTTTAATATTATATTTTTCCTTATTTTTTATTCGACCACTGCCTACATATAGAGAGTTGGTCATTTTCCTATATTTTAATGATTTTTTTTTCTTTAATTTTCAATTTTATTATTTAATTGTGCTCTTGCCTTCTTTTGGTTTTCTTTCATTTTGAAAATTCATTTAATAAAAATTGTGTTATAATTTTTACAATTTATGATCTGTGCTTCATTTTTGTTTTTCTTATTTTCTTCTTACCCACAAAGTTTTCATTTCTATTTTGTCTTCAATTATTCTATATAGAACAGATTATTGGTATAGAGCAGGCAATTTTCCGCGTGTCTGTACATTTTAAATTAAATTTAAATTAAATTTAGCTTATGCTTTTATACAATTTTTAATGGCCTTTAGAAGATTTTTTAAAAAAAAGGACGAATCATTACAATCGTGTTTGTAAATTTTTTTAAATTATTTTGAAAATATAAAATAATTTTGTGATTGTGGGTATTTTAATAATTGAATTTTTATTCTAATTAATTAAATTTTTGCAATTCACAACATTCATTTAATTAATTTTAAAGATAGCAGTAAAATAAGAATTGGAAATATTCCTAACAAAAAAAATTCAACTTTAATTGCAATTGAATTTTTATTCCAAAAAGGCATGGTTTTCTTCCATATGTGAGAGAACCAGCTTAAATACGAGCCCATTAAAATTAAATTAAATTTAAAAGATTGAATTTTAAATAATTGCCTTTGTCAATTAAATGTGCTGAGTTGATATTTGGAAATGTTCAGAGTGTGTGCGGTAATTCAAATATCATATCTTACAGGGAGTTCTGGTATTACTTCAAAATATGGAATAGTCTGTCCTGAATATTAATACACTACATACATATATCAGTGGTGTTACTAACAAAATATTCTACTTGTGTATTTGAATAAAAATTCTTTTAATAATTTAAAGGATAACAGAATAAAAATACTGCATATACGGAGTTGATTCTTGGAGTAAGAGCTTAAACCCGAATTTAAACGCAAACCATAATATATTTTAATGAATCCAAGTAGGAATTAATTCCGGGTCATAAATTTAAACCCATTACTTTCACTTTAACAGTAAACATAAGTGATTTTCAATTAAATTCTCTCAAAAAAGTCATCATTTTCTTAAACGTTAGAATTTATAAATGACAAATTAATTATTATTAAATATTCAACAATTTGCATTATACTTCAAATTCATTTCCAAAGAAAATTAATCCTTAAAAGACTATATAATTTAAAAAATCGCCCTCTACATCACGTGAACAGAGAGTTTTAATAACTAAATACAAAAATCATATTATTTTTCGTCCTTGTTTTAACGTAATTAACGTAAAAAGTAAATAGAGAAAAAGAAAAAAAAAGAAAAGAATAATTCATTGAACTTTTGCTACGTTAGCATGAACATCAAAAATGTTTGACAAAACAGAAAAAAAAGAAAAAAATGTGATACAGTGGTTATCATAATAATTTTCTTCTACAAGGATGAAAAGAAAGTAAAGGACATCCTGAAAATTCTATTTAAAATTTCATTTCCACTTTGTTATGCTTCCCAACTTGAAACCCTTTACCCATATAATGAGCAACGGGATAAAAGAGAAGAAAAATAAAGATGAAAAAAAAAAAACGAAAAAAAGTTTTTTTTTTTCAAAGAAGATGAAAAGAGAAAGAAAATAATGTGATTAACTTACCCAGATAATATTCCCTTGCGTTGTCCTGCATTATCCGAAACAGCAATAAATATGAAAAGAGAAAGAAAAAAATTTTTTTTTTTGTATGAGTTTACAATATTGACACAGAGACATAATTATGGTATATTTATATTATATATATGTAATTACAATGTAAATGAGAACGTATATATAAGGTTTGTGTACAGAGTGTTAACTATATTTGTGAGTTATTACGAAATATATAAAAATCATATATTACCCCCGATTATGGCAATGTCTACTACAAACGGAGTTTTTTCAATAAATAAAGAAATATAATTTTTCACGTAAAGAATTTATAGCTTGATTTTAGGTGAGACCAGTCTCTGAAGCAGACATTCTTCAGTTACTGATCGTCATTTTCCGATAAAATGGTCAACATTCGTATTCGTATTCGTAATTGTGGCTACAATTGTATGGCACAAAACTTTAATATAAATATGTCAACGAAATTCTGGTAATATTTAAAATTTAATTTCAAAAGGCTGTAAATTAATCGTGCCTAATATTGTGCCTAATAATTAAAAAATGTTTATGCTCTAACGCAAATTATAAAGTTTAATTTTTATTAGATTTCAAATCTGGACACATTCCAATTTCAGCACAAATTTTTATATTAATATTTTTATGCATTTATATCGAAAAATTTAATGAATATTTTAATAGCAACATTATTACGTGGAATGTACCGAAAAGCATTACGTGGAAAATTGCAAAAGATTTTTAGACCTAAATGAAATTGCGTGCAATAAGAAAATTTCTACAATTAATATATGATACGAAATTTTAAAGCAAGTAATGTTTTCAATATTGCAAGAACTATCAAGAACGGGGGATTTTTTGAGTGAATAATTAATTATTTTATGATGATTAAATAAAGAATTTAAGCAGGACTTAAAATAATTTCTAGTCATTACTAAGGAAGTTTGTACTTAAGAAATAGAAGTAATTAATAAATGGATTGATTGGAATGGTTCGGTGATGTTCGGAGAAGGTGAGAAAATACGAAGTTGAAAATTTTTATTTAAATAATTTTTAATAGAAATCTTAAATATTTGGTGTAATTAATTTTATAAACTATGTTCGAAAAACGCTTAATTTGCTGTCTTTAAAATGACGTCATTATAGTTTCAAGAATATTAATAAGAACTTACGGTCAATGGGGTCAGTACGACCATTTATGAGGCCAGTATGACTATTGAAAATTTCAATTTTTTTAATATTTTAGCAGTCCGTAATAATAATAAATTATTTGTCTTTCTCACTAGAATTAGAGAATTTCAGGATTAGATAATTACTTTAATTCAGTAATTAAGCTTCAACATTATTCTCAAATACTTTTATTCAGCAATTCAGGAGAATTTTATTATTTTTGAGAAGAATAAGGCATGTTTAAGCCTTGAAACCGAAATATTGCTCTCGTTTGCTAATATTCCTATATAAATTAAACAAAAATCTGCCTCACATTCCATAATGCCCATAGGCAAGGCAAAATCTAAAATGAAAATATGATGAGGCATATTTAAACGGTAAAAATTTTTTACATTTCCTTTTTCTATTATCATAACTTTTTTCTTTTCTTTTTTTTTAAAAATTTTTGCTGAAGAAAGTTTTGAAGGGTTAATCCTTTTTTTTTTCTTGCTAAAATTGAAAATATGTTTTTATTGTGTCTTTGCATACTTAAAAAGCATAAAGAAGAATATGAAAAAAATTTAATTTTGTAATATTGGAGTGCCTATATACTAGTACATGCAATTTAAAGCATACCATAGTGGAAGAAATTGATTATCTCATATTTAGAAAGCTTGAGCGAACAAGTTAATTGTCATATTTTTTTTTTTTATAAAAATTTTTTGTGGTTATTAAAAATTTTCTTCTCACTGTGTAAATGAAATTTTTATTTAAAATGAAATTTCAATTTAAGAGCTTTTAAAATTTTGTGGTCATATTGTTGGACACGGACATTATAAGAACATGATTTACTTTAATTCACCTGCCACCAAATGCTATGAGCGAGGCAATATAATAATTTTAGAAAATTTTGAAAAAAAAAAAATTTTTTTTCTAATAAAAGAAAGTGGGGACGTTTTAGTGTTATATTGAAATTGAATGTGATTTTAAATTCATTTTAGTAAAAATGGAGTCTGAATTTTGGGAAAATTTTTTTTACTTTTAATAAAATGAATATTTGATGACTATCCGATTAGATTTAATGTGAAATGAGGCCAGGAAAAATTAAATGATATGTTGGAGAGGGATTTGAAATTTTAATTTTTGCATTTCTTAAGGCCTCAGATATAAATGCAATTTTTCATTTTGCAATTATTGTTTAATTATAAATTTGACGTGCGCTCACCTAAGCAACTAAACTGCTGCGTCAATTCAGAAATTAAATTGATTTAACTAAAAATTACAAGGACTTTGATTGCTTAATAACATGTGACAAGTCAGGGGAGTATTTGGCGCCACGCTTTTTCAAATTCGCCAAATAGGTTAATTGGTGCCGGTAGATGGTTTTTGAGATTATATTACGTTAAGGTTGTGGGTTGTTAATTTCAGACTTCCCAATAATTTTTCTTGCTACCCTAGTGCATGGGCTTCGCGTGAGAGGACAGACGGAGCCCGTTCTCTAACTGCTACTATTACAGCTACTATTACCAATATTTGTGATATCACTACTACTACTACTACTAATTGAATGTAAGCCTACAGAAGCAAACTATACTACTCCTACTAAGCGCTTGAATCTAAGCCTATAGAAACAAACAGTTAAATTGCATGTATTTCTGAGCCCTAAATATTTTTAATTATAAGTAAAACGCGGATAATTTTTAAAATATTGAAAAAAAGTTATTTTGTTCTTATTCTTATAAATTAATATTAAATTCATAAGTAATTATCTTCTTATTTCTGGAATCCTTTAAAGGTTGCCCGTATGCTTCGGATTTATAATATATTCCAAGCTTTATAACTTCAGCTGATTTATTTTCTCTTATACAATTACGATTTATTAAAGGATGCCATAAATATTATTATCAAGTAACAACTTTAAAGACGAAAATTGTTGATCCTCTTGTTCAACTTGCAAGATAATAATAATTTATGGAAATTTTTTTTTTGTAAAATAATTGAAACTCGTGATCAATTGAGTTATTTGGTTCAAAACATGTTTAAATCAAATGTTTGAGTAGTAATTTCCTTAATTATCAAAATTTTCAATTAATTCCGAAATTATAATTAAAAAATAAAAGAAAATATTTATATCAAGAAGTCAAAAGGTTTCAATTTAATAATTTATGCAATATTACGGGACACTTCCTATTTATTATAGAGAAGACAACATTATTAACGAGGTTATGTCCACCCATTAAAATTATTATTGAAAAACTATGTACATATTTTGATATTTTTAATCATTTCACATCAATTTTAGTATTTGAAAATCAAATTTAACCTTTCGTTGATGACCTTTTATTTCTACATACATATATGAAAATTGTATATGAAATTTATTGAATTTGATTGATTGACAAGTGAAAATGAAATGCTACGTAGGAAATATAAATTTTTGTTAGTGTTATTACGTTTGTATTAATGTTATGTAAATAAGTACAATATATGTGAGTATGTATGTATGCAAATATATCCTTATAAACTATTTTTATTATTAATATAAAACTTACCTTTATATTATGGTTAACGCCTAAATTTACTGGGGAACAATCCGAAAAATAACTAAAAATTATTCCTAATAAAGGCAGCAATATAAACATTTTCTGAAAAATAAATAAAACATAGACAAAAATTAATTATTAAATTATAAAATTTTTAAATTTAAATTAAAAATATTTAAAAAAAAATTTGCATTTAAATAATTATATTTTACAAATTAATGTAATTATCTAGAAATTAGTAGAGAACTTACATAAATAACAAATTCTATTAACCCTTTCACTACCCATATCTAAGCCTGGTAGAAATATAATTTTTTTGATTTCGAATTCAGGCTCCAAGAACTCGTCATAACCATTAAAATATAAAATGTTTAAAATACAAAAATGAACAGTATTTTTCGTAGTATGTGTATGGGTTCTTGGTGCAATTTGGGGACTGGCAAATGCAGGTCAAAAGCATTAGTATATACAACATTATTGGTTCTTATATGAATTATTATTGGAGACAAGAATCTTTTTGGCTCAATTTAATTTTACAAAAATTTTAACTCAATTCGTCACAATTTAAAATTGTTAAAAAAAAAAACATGAGAATTCTAATAATTTAAAAAAAAAAAAACAATTTTTCTAATTTAAAAATCACATTGAATGAATAAATTTGCATTTACTCACTCTTTCCCATCAGATGTCAGAAGTATAAAAGAATCAGAAATAAAGAATCCGACCCTATAATATTTTTTACTTTTTAATAATTCAAAAAATTCTTTTATATACAGAACGTTTTGCATAAGGTGGCAAATAATTACAGGGATGATTCTTTAATTAATTTCCACTAAAAAATCGTTTTTGGAGGAGTTGCGTGGGGGGAAACACAGAGCATTTTTGGCATGTTTTTAGAATACATTTAACACGATTTACTGGAAAATGTTATATGGAGTAACTCTTAGCTTTCATTGTTGCGCATCGAAAAAAAACCAAAAATTGTCGAAAAATTTCGAGTTTTTTAAAGAGAAATTAAAAAAAAACAAACAAAAAATTCTAATTTTGATGAGCTTTGTCACAAAAACTATAGTTCAGATTAAATTTATTGCAAAATCGAAAATGAGAAGCAATCAATTGCCTATAAAAAACAAGCCACCGATCTTTACTATATGTCGCATGGCTTCGAACTTATAAGCATTTATTTATATGCAGGAAAAATCTGGTACTTTTTTTTCAACAGACTGCAGCTTAAAAACTAGTATATATGGGTGCACATCCTCCAAAATATGATTTTTTGCTGGAAATTCATCAAGGAATCGTCCCCGAAATTATGCCACCTTATGCGAATTACCTTGTATAATGAAGCTGTTGTAAAACATTTAAACGAATTAGCATTTTTTCTTTTGGCATTATAATTGAATAAGATTAAAATTCAATTCGAATATACCCTAATAATATTCGAAAATCAGATCAAGGACATTTTATTATAGTCAATTATAATAATATGAATATTAAGACAAATAAAAATTTTTTTTTAAATTAATTTTCCATTTTTGCTTTTACAATTTTTGTTTTTTTTTTAATAATTATTATTCAATACTTGCTATGATTAATACCATAATCAAATTTATTCATTATTCATTATTAATTTATGTAAAATATACACGTTTTATATAATTATAATTGCACGTGTATTACAAGTATATCTGCTATATTCATGAAAATTTTTATATGTATATGAATTATCAATGATTATCTAAAAATATAATTTCGGAAAAAAAAAAATGGAAAAATCTCATTATTAGCTTAATATCGCTATTATCATAATAAATGAGCTTATTCTCATTTTTTTCTATATATTAATGAATAGAAAAAATTTTACTTTATTTTCTTATTATTCTTATCTTTGATTAGACACAAGAAAAAAAAAAGGTTCAAATTCTTATGAAAATAAAACAAAAGAATGAAGGTATTGACATAAATTTTGAATTGATTTAAGAAATCGATTTATAATGATTATTTTACATAATTTATGAAGAAATTTATTCACAAATAAAGTACAGGGAGATTTTCTAAAAAAAAAAAATAAGGTATGAACTTACAAAGATATGGACTCAACTCACTTTGATATAGTTGCAAAGAGTACTTCTGTAGCAGTCATATAACTAAACTAATATCGTAAATAAATAAATCATATCGTAAAATCAGATTCTCGTAGCATTCCTACGAATATCGCTACCTATGCTAAATTTTATATATAAAAGCAATATACTTTCATTTCCTCCCCTCATTAATTAGACGAACAGCGTAGTGTAAAGTGTTATCAATAAAATTACATGGTAGTATTAATCACCCATCTATATTTTTGCCGGTTAATTTCAGTTAAAGTTATTACTAAGCAATTTCAGCGTATATACTCAATCCGAATTTCGAAACGACTTAAAATTTTTAATTTTCATTCATAATTCTAATATAGTTGCTAACAAGTAAATTGGTCCAAAATCAGAAATGATATTTTTGGGAAAAAATTTTTACCTAAATTAGAAAATTCAATGAGGATGAGAACCGTACCCTGTTCCACTCAAGAATTGCAAGAATTTTTCAAATTTTACATCAAAAACTTGGGATACACTTGTGATTCTTTTCATATATTCTTCATACTTACTATTTGATAAAAGAAACGGTTACGTTGTTATTTAGACAATTTTGCTGTTATACGACCTGCTTTAGTAGCAAATCGAAAGTGATCCATTCACATTTTGTTTATAAATTTTTGTTTTATCAAAAAATTTAGAAATCCTATAATTTATTTGAATCAATAAGTTCGAAATCGATAATTTTGTTTGTTGAACCATTTTATTTTCAAGCACCCCAAAATTGGGCCTTTAAAACAATATTCACGAGAGAAGTCCCTTCTGCGGAATTGGACCACATACTTCATTTAGAACTTTAGAAAGCAATCAGAGAGGAAGCGATCGGAGCCCTAGAGAAGTCTTTCAGGATTAGAATTGGGTAAGAGTCCTCATGTCTTATCAGGGGTCTTGTCAGGTCACTATAGAATCAAGGGGCATCTCAGTAGACTGGGCCCGGAAAGTGGAGACACTTTGTTGTTCTGTGTCGGAGGGGAGAGCATCATAACATTTTCTGGGAGAGAGTTGTGCTCTTGCCCACTGGAGAAGAAAAATCGTGGGCGGCTTTGCTCTCATAATGGCGGTATTACAATCTTCCGGGTCTCACAAGTTGCCTGAGTTCAACAGGAGAGTGAATCTCGAGCGTGGGTTTTGAGGCATGCCACGCGCTCAGGGGGTTGCACAATAGATCCTTATATATGGTCGCGGTGTACTGTTACCTATATATGTCGTGATTTTAAAAGAGTTTCTATATTAAGCGAGTATTCTATATTAAGCAAGCTCAAATTATATGTAAAAATATATGAAGATTTTTCTCGTTTTGTGACTATTGCTGAATTGTAATATTAAACAGGGTGGATATTAAGCTTGTTCGACTATAGTATGTTAGGTACGCATACAAGGTTGCAAAATGTACAACACGTAATTATTAGAAAAATTATAATAATCATATTGAAGGTTATTTTAATCAATTATATTATAAATATGTGTTTGATAGCACATTTTGAAAAAAAAAAAAACGAAAATATTCATCACTACAAATTACTTAAATCCTTTTTAATATCAAAATATGAGTGCAATATCATGTAACCAATAACCTACATATACATACACATATATACCAACATACATTTTCTTGTCATAAGCTTTGATAAGTAAGGAAAATAAATTTTCAATAATAGCTTTAATATGGTATAACCTGTATAATATGTGTGTTAACTATGTTATTGAAAGATCTCATAAATTTATGAAAATTTCAAAATAGAAAAAAAAGGATATTATACTTAAGAAAATTTATTTTTTTTCTTTAAAAAGGATGTTCATACATTTTTTTTTCTCTTTTGCCTTTTTCATATATAAGTATCAGACCCATTAAGATGCACTTAAAGGAAATATTTCTATATATGTGTTGAGAATCTATTTAAAAAGCTATTATAAGGGCATTTAAAATGCAAGTTGTTAAAAAAAAATATATATATAAAATGTGCTTTCTACAAAATTATTGCTTTTATCAATAAAATTACCCTTAACTATGAGAGTGATATACAATGTGTGTATAAGAGTGTATATATAGGTATTATAAATAATTTTTAATATAAATCATTTCCATTTTTAGCACAGCATTAGGTCATCATTTTAAATATCATTATAAATTTGTAAAAATGTGCACTTTTCTAGAAATTGTTCGCTAATATTATATTATATTTTGATATATTCCATATTATTTCTGGAAAATTTTTTTTCATTTTATGGAAAATTTAGAATAGAAATTGAATAATATGAAGCTTGATTCCTTTATATTGGATTTTAAATATTATTTCGGATGGATTACAATATTAAGATGCAATATAAAGGATCAATATATTAATTCGATAGGATCATGGTGTTGGATCATAATATTGATGAAAACTTATGGGTCGCTTAGTTTTTCTAATAAAATTTTTTGGATGCAATTAACATAGAAAAAGATTGGAAATTTTGTCTGAATATTGAAAATTAAAAAAAGAAAATAAAAAGATTTTTTGGCATTATGTTAGTTTTTCTTGTAAAACATTAAGGGGTCCATGAAAACCTGCTAGGAGTCTATGAAAAAATATGAATTTAATTATATAAAATTTTTATTTAACTTTCTCACACAATTGGGCATATGTGTACCTTGCTACTGTTAAAAATTTAAATCTATCAAAGAAAGTCGCAGGGGGTCTATTAAACATTGAAAAACACGACAAGTGGTGTACGTGAGAAAAAAAAAATTTGGGAGCCTCTAAATTAAACAATTATAATTATTCCAAATATTCAACACAGCCAAATTTCACGACTAACACTAAGAAATTCTGGCATTTCTACTTCAAATTGTTTTGATTTGAGAGTGTATTCACTTAGGCCAATAATAACAGCAGATTATTGTACATAAAATACATTCCCTTAGATTATAACTTTAGAGCTATAATGTGGCTCATTTAGGAAATATTCATTAGTAATTCTTGA